CGCGCCTCCCCTTAGACTAGTCCACGCCTCCCAATTTGAAGTTAACACTCGAAAGCAGTGTTTTCACATTTTAGTGATTTTCTCTGGAACTATAATAGATTGAATGGATCCAAATTATGCATATGAAAGCTGAATGTTTGGGGATTGTAGCAAGTATTCATACATTGCTGTGTTTTCATCCGTTTGGCTGTAGTACGCGTTTAAAGTTGAAGTTATCACTCGAAAAAGCAGTGTTTTCACATTTCATTGATTTATTTGAAAACTATAATAGATAGAATGAATCCAATATATGCATATGAAAGCTGAATGTTTGGGGAATCCAGCAAGTATTGATACATTCCTGTGCTCTTATCCATATTGCTGTAATACGCGTTCCTTTTATGAAATGGTGGGGTGTGGGGAGGCGCCAAATGATTACATACTTTTGAGAGAGGCGTAGTAACATCAAGTTTGGAAACCACTGCTTTAAAGTATACAGGAAAAATACCAACAGTTAAAGAAGAATCATTCCATTACATAATTAAATAATTGATTATAAATGTTTCAACAAAAAAAAGTTTATAACTTATTTACTTATTATTATAATCGTGTCAAGTTTTTAGCATGATGTTGTCTACTACAAAACCGTAGTTGATTATTATTCATGTCGCATTAAAATAGTGTAGAAAAATTCAAAAGTAAATAAAAAAAATAATAGCTTTTACACTTAATGGCCTTAGTCGATCACATCACGTGTCTACTTTCATATTGTTTTGTTGCTGTTCATTATAATTTTTTTGTAATCAAGCAGAAACACGCAAGCTCATGGACATGTGAAAATATTAATAACATCGAAACAAGAAAAAGAGAACTAAATAAATAAATAAAATCGTTAAAAAATGATATAAATGTGAACGCTAACAATTGTAATTTCGGTGCAGTTTTCAAATATTTAATGCCCCGTTCAATATGCATGGAAATATTCATAACATTAACTTGTGCATTGGCAAGAAACGCTATTTTTGCAGGAAAATGAAAATTGTTGATTGCATAACTTGACAATAAAAAAAACTCGTGTAATATTGAAGTTGTCTTATGGGTGGAGATGTTTTGAGTAATTGAATTTCCATGTAATATTCAAAGCAAATTGAATGTACGAAACTTCCAGAGAATTGTAGAAAATTAAGTGCATATATGCAATTAACATTGATGTATGTAAATGTTGAGGGGGAGGAGGAGGCAAGTGTCCTAATTCAGAATGTATGAAAACAAAACGCACACAATGAAATTGTTTCGTTTAAAAGTTTCAGAGCGAAGCACACTTTTATTTCTCACCTCATCTTCACCGTTGTACGTTTCTCTCGCGTACTCTTTTTTTTTGCTACTGTACCGTCGTGTTGTGCAATTTGCATGGACATGGGGGAGAAGCAGACTAAAAGTAGAATAAACAGACGATTTTCGTGCCGCGGCGAAATATTTTTATTGCATTAACATTTTTATTAAATTATTAACGTAATTTCCCTTTTTAAACGAATATTTTTATGCGATATAATATAATTCCAGCGCTCGTGCGGAGGCGAATTTAGTATCCATAAAAATGAGTACGTTATATAATATATATAAAAAAAAAAGAAAAAGAGTACCGCAAGTTACAAAGTGTAAGGGAAGTAATCGATGCTGGACTACTCTAAATAATTGTAATTGTTGCAATTAAATATTTTATGCTAGTTTTTTTTGCAGGGTGTAAAATGGGGGAAGTTAACATTGTTATCTTTGTGCGGTTTCTATAAATTCGCGTGGCTTCAGACTAAAAAAAAAAAGAGAGGGCCGTTTCGGGTTTTATTGGTATTTAAAAAGCGTCGTAATTTATGGTTCGAGAAAGAGATCACCTCATGACTAAGAGCATAGTTTTCCAAGCGTCGGGGAGGGTTTTTCGAACAAAGAAGCAAGAGGGGAAAAGAAAAGAACTCTCTTAAAGTTAAGCTGCACTCAAACAGAGGGCATTTACATGGACGCAAAGTTTCGCGCGTTTTTAACGTCCTCTTAAAAAAAAAAACGAAAAAAAGAACGAAAGGGAAGAGAATAATGCACGAAGGATAATTACTGTGTCATTATTTGGGAGTACCTCGGGTTTTATGGAAGTCTTCACCTGAAAGTCTTTACATTAAGTTAAAGTTAATGAACGTGGATGATCAAATTTCATCAGCTCCTTAATATCGTCTGTATTTTCTATTGTGTTTCGTCCTAATAAATGCAGCAAACAATTCATTTTTCGATGCATAATGAGAATCATTACATCGGGGCAACGTAACACGAGACCCAGCCTGCTGCATTACGTAATCCACACGGTGCATTATTGTTGTGATGTCGGAAGGAAGGAGCGCTGCCGCCGCAGGTCGAGAGGAAGGATAACGAAGTGTATTATTTAGATTGCCTTTGCCGATGATTTTTCGCAGCTCTTGTTTGCGTTTTAATTAAACCTAGGCGTTGGTTGAGAAGAGGCTGCAGGATAGGGTTTTGCAGGATATTGAGGAACGACCGCCTTCATCCTTTCCCATAGCAGCTTGCGTTTAATTTTATTAATTTCTCATTTAATAAATCTCGGATTACTTCCAGTTAAATTGAGGCGCAACAAAAATAATGAGGAAAACAAAATACACTGGAAGCCCTTCAGTCTGCACCTGAAAGAAGGGCTCGGAGAAGTGGTCGAATACTTAAAAAAAAAAAATATATATATATGGGAGTAAATTAATTTAATTATTTTTGCAATTAGTTTTTCCTGATTCACAAGAAATCCCATTACTGAAAAATCATTAAAAATAATTGGTAAACAATAATTGTCTTGTATAAATATTGTGTATATAAAAATGTACGTTTTTGTTGGCGTTCGACGAAGAAGTTTATCTTTTATTTTTCGCGTTGTAAAAAGGAAGTGTGAAAGTTTTGTAAAATGCGAGAGCAGGAAGGAGGAGGAATATAAAAAGAAGAAGAGAAGAGGAGGAACCCAAGTGCCATCAAGTGTAATCTACTCAAAGAGCAGTTCAGTTGTTTTATTTTATTTTCGGGATGCTGCGGATGTGTCTGTCCGAGAAAGTTATGTAGGAAAATGTGCTAAAAGATTTCCGCGTGAAAACAATGGTTGTATTTATGAGCGTTGACAGGGAATTTGTAGTTGAGATGCGTGGTGGAGGCGGCGGCTGCTTCTGCTGTTGCGGAGGCGGTTCTAGAGGAGCGGCGGTCCTCCGCTCGTAAATTACATCCAATCCAATTATTTTTAAGTTTATGGGCGCATAAGAGTATTCCGGGCTAATTTGTTTTGTAAACATCTCTAGTTTATGTTTATTGTTTACAAAGAGACACACATACAGTGCGAGACGCAAAGAGAGTCAGACTAAGAGACAGAGAGAGAGGACAATTAACTCTTACATAATGATTATAGCGAAAAGGAAAAAGGAAGCTGTGCGGGCTTCTGCGAATGTGCCAGAGAGTGAGGAGGAAACGCGGCTCTCTCTGTTTCAGTAATCGTCGATAGTAGCAGTCGTAGCAGCAGTAGATTAGGGCCGGCCGAACGGAATTCCGCTCGAATAGTTACGTAATTGGAAAATTGTTGCGGAGCTGCTGCATTTCTGAGATCTGGGTAATGTCGGATGATGCGCCAGGATGGGATGGTTTAATGCATCCTCTCTCTCCTCATCCACCCCATTCAGTTAAAGTTCCTTCAGTCGTAGGTCTTCTCTCTCCGCTCTCGAGCTTCCCTAATCTTCCGACTTACCTAACCTTCGTTTTTAAGTACCCTTTCTTGTCCTTTTAGTTCAGACTACAATCCTCATCGTCTTCATGAACATGTTGTTTTATCTTAATCTAATTATACAATATTTAGAAGTGCTATAACTAATATTACAATGGACGTAATTTATTAGGTTGTACAAGAAGTTAGAGCTTCCAAAAGTTTATTTCCCCATTAACTTATTTATGGACCAATATCATTGCAATCCTCTTCAATAGTTAATACCAATCAAAGAGGCAATAAATACTACAATGAATCCTTTTTGTTGATATTTTAATAGCATTTTCTACATTATACACTGTATTTTATATATCTAAAAATATATTATTGTTAAATTTAGTTTTAGAATTTTGATGATAGTTGCAGCTGAGATTAATTACGAGTGTTTAAACTTAACTGAGATCCGCATATTTCTGGATATCATCTTGTCCGTGGCGCGGCGTGTCTTAAAGAGTCCTAATTACATCCCTCCCTCGCACTGTAGTATTTTATGGCACGGAGTAGACCGAACTGCATTAAATAATAAATTCAAG